ACCGAGAAAAGTTTTGATGCTCACATTTTCTCAAGGCAAACAAAAACAATATATATATTCTTAAATTTAGGACTTATTTTATCAAAACCCTAGTTGTATCCAAATTGAATTGGGTTTCCACAAATTAGATATAATATATAAAAATATATTATAACTAATATCAAACCAAATTAAACTCTTTTAATAAACCAATTGGGTCCCACACTCCAATAAGGAGGTATACCCAACAATTCTCCCCTTACCGACTTAGGTGGAGAAATCAACCATACCCGCCAAAGTTCAACACTTTAAATGTTTGTCCCTCGACAAAGTCTTTGTCAACATATCTGAAATATTATCATCTGTGTGAACCTTTTCGAGTTGTAACAATTTCGAATTCAACACATCAAGAATCCAATGGTATCTCACATCAATGCATTTCGATCTCGAATGAAAAGTAGAATTTTTACTCAAGTGAATAGAACTTTGACTATCACAATAAAGCACATACTTTTCTTGCTTTAAACCCAACTCTTGCAAAAATTTCTTCAACCATAACTCTTCTTTGCAAGCTTCTGTAATGGCAATAAATTCAACTTCGGTAGTTGAGAGAGCAACACATTTTCGTAATTTAGATTGCCATGCCACAGCTCCCCCTGTAAAAGTCATCAAATACCCCGAAGTAGATTTCCTAGAATCAACATCACCGGCCATGTCAGAATTCGTGAACCCATCAAGCATCGGCTTACCATCCCCAAAACGCAAAGACACTTTCGAAGTCCCTCAAAGATATCTTAGAATCCATTTTACCGCTGCCCAATGTTCTTTACCCGGATTAGAGAGAAAATGACTCACCACACCAACGGCGTGAGCAATATCCGGTCTTGTACAAACCATGGCATACATTAAAGAACCAACTGCTGAAGCATAAGGAATTTTCAACATCTCTTCTTTGTCTTTCTCACTTGTAGGACATTGATTCGAACTAAGCCTGAAGTGACCAGCAAGTGGACAACCAACCGGCTTCGCTTTATCCATATTGAACCTCTCAAGAACTTTCTCAATGTAGTTTTCTTGAGACAACCAAATCAGCCCCTCTTTGCGATCACGAACAATTTTCATACCAAGTATTTGCTTTGTCGGTCCCAAATCTTTCATAGCAAAAGACTTGCTCAACTCCAATTTCAACCTGTTAATTATGGTAGAATCTTGACCCACAATTAACATGTCATCCACATAAAGCAAAAGAATAATAAATTTGTCATCTGGAAAATTTTCCACAAACACACAATGGTCCGAAGTGGTTTTAGAAAAACCATTATTCATCATGAAAGAGTCAAATTTTTTGTACCATTGCCGCGGGACTTGCTTGAGGCCATACAAACTTTTCTTCAATTTGCAAAAAAAATTTTCTTTCTCTTTTTCCACAAAACCTACTAGTTGCTCCATGTAAATTTCTTCTTCAAGATCACCGTGAAGAAATGCAGTCTTCACATCAAGTTGCTCAACTTCAAGGTTCATTCTTGCAGCCATGCCAAGTACAATCCAAATAGAAGACATCTTCACAACCGGTGAGAAAATTTCGTCAAAGTCAATACCTTTCTTTTGCCTAAAGCCTTTCACAACAAGACGTGCTTTGTACCTCAGATTCTTGCTATCATTCTTCAATTTGAAAACCCACTTATTTTTCAGAATTTTCCTCCTCTTAGGCAACTTCACTAAATCATAGGTGTGATTTTCAAGTAAGGAGTTCATCTCCTCTTCCATGGCCTTTTTCCAATCACCTTTCTTTGCATGCTTAATTGCTTCTTGGTAGCTCTCAGGCTCCCCTTGATCGGAAATCAACACAAACTCATTGGGAGGATACTTTCTTGAAGGTTGTCGGTCCCTTGTAGATTTTCTCAACTCAAGTTGTGGTGGCGGTTCTTGAGTTGGATGCTCTTCCTCAATTTCTGGCTCAACTTCATTAGGATTAGCATCATCCTCCACTTCTTCAATAGGTGGCTGCACATCTCCTCCATTTTCATCATCAACTGAAGAAGAAGGAGATAGATCCATGTCAATGAGATCACTAGTTTTTGGCTCCGGTTGATCACCTTTGCCAAAGTCTTCAATTGTTTGGTCTTCAAGAAAGACAACATCACGATTTCGAATGACGTTTTTGTTGACCGGATCCCACAATCTATATCCAAATTCATCACGCCCATAGCCAAGAAAAATACACTGTCTTGACTTACTATCAAGCTTGGACCTCTCATCCTTTGGAATGTGAACAAAAGCTCGGCAACCAAACACTCTCAAGTGCTCATAAGACACATCTTTACCAGTCCAAACTCTTTCAGGAACATCACCATTCAAAGGATAGGAAGGAGACAAATTAATCACATCAACCGCTGTATTAATTGCCTCACCCCAAAAAGATCTTGACAATTTAGCTTGTGAAAGCAAACACCTTGTTCTTTCCACAATTGTGCGGTTCATCCTCTCGGCAACGCCATTTTGTTGAGGAGTCTTCTTAACTGTCTTTTGGTGCCGAATACCTTGGCTGCGACAATACTCATCAAATGGCCCAATGTATTCACCACCATTGTCTGATCGGATGCACTTCAATTTCTGCCATGTTTCTCTTTCAACCATGGCCTGAAAATGCTTAAATACTTCTAGAACTTGATCTTTAGTTTTTAGTAAAAAAGTCCAAACTTTTCTTGAATAATCATCAATAAAAGTAACAAAATAAAGTGCACCATTATGTGTTCTAACTTTCAAAGGACCACAAACATCCGAATGAATCAACTCCAACACATTTTCTTTTCTAGAAGCAACATTTTTAGAAAAGAAACTCTATGTTGTTTACCTGCCAAACAATGAACACAAGTTTTAAGATGTGTACCTTTCAAACCGGGTAGAAGCTCTTTCTTGAACAATACTTGCAGCCCCTTTTCACTCATGTGGCCAAGCCGCTTGTGCCACAATTCGGTAGAATCATCTTCAAGTGCATTACAACACCTTTACAAATTTTTCCTTGCATCGAATAAAGTGTATGAGTCTTCTTGCACTTAGCCACCACCAAAGAACCCTTTGTGAACTTTCATATTCCATCACCAAATTTGTTGTTGAAGCCTTCATCATCTAACTTCCCAGTAGAGATCAAATTGAGGCGAATGTCGGGAACATGCCTCACATCTTTAAGCAACAACTTGCAGCCCAAATTTATTTCCAAGCAAACATCACCCATGCCAATAATCTTGGACAAACCTTCATTACCCATTCGAACGGAACTATAATCTCCTTTGGTGTAGGTAGTGAAGAAATCAACTTGAGACGTCACATGAAAAGAAGCACCGGAATCAATCACCAATTACTCTCTTGGCCCACAAAATTGATACAATCATCTTCACAAACAACCATGAGATCATCAGTAGTAACTGCCGTTGTGTTTTCTTGCTTCTTATCCACACTTCTGTCACACATTTTCTCCTTATTCTTGAGCTTTTGGCATTCCCGCTTCACGTGCCCTTTCTCATGGCAATAATAGCACTCAATGTCTTTCTTTGAAAAAGAGCCATCTTTTGATTTGTCACGGCTTTGATCACAACCATGAGGAGTCTTACTCCTCTCCCTTGTTTTGCTCCGGCCTCTCACAACGAATGCTTCCGAATGAGAGGAACCTGCTGATTTTTTTCTAGTTTCTTCATTCAACAGGCTACTAGTGACTTGGCCCATTGTGACAACTCCATCGGGCGCCGAATTACTTACGGTCACAACCAAAGTCTCCTAACTTTCGGACAAAGAACTAAGTAGCATCAAAGCCTGCAACTCATCATCAAAAACAATTTTCATAGAAGCAAGTTGGTTAACAATACTTTTTATTTCATTCAAATGTTCTGGAATGGGGCTGCCATCTTTATATTTTAAATTAACCAATTTACGAAACAGAAAGGCTTTATTTGTGGTTGATTTTCTATCATAAAGGCCTTCTAATTTTTTCCATAGATCATGAACTGAAGTTTCAGTAGCAACATGATGAAACACATTGTCATCAATCCATTGATGGATAACACCAACGGCTTTTCAATTAAGCCTCTTCCACTCATCATCTTTCATACCTTCGGGTTTGCCACTATCACCCTCAATAGGTCTATACAAATCTTTACAAAATAATAGGTCCTCCATTTTAGTTTTCCAAGTTACCCAATTGTTTCCATTGAAGCTAAACATACGACCCACATTCCCCTCCATTGATTTACACAAATAAATAAACCCAAATAACCCGTAAGCTTTGATACTAGTTGTTAGGGAAAATATGTGATTCCCCACAAGTAAATCAATCAATGGGAATAAAAACTAATGCGGAAAAATTAAATCAAAAGCAACACAAGAATTTTTACGTGGTTCCCTCAATGTGAGGTACGTCCACGGGATCGAAATCCGATTCCACTGTCAACCAAAGAGTTTCCAAACGGTTACAAATGAGACAAGAATGGTCTCACAAAACCACCCTTAGGTGAATTCCAAATAATCACAAATAAACAAGAGGAAAGACCTCACCAAATAGATGAACAAAAATCTTCAAACCAGAGTCGTAGCAGACCACCAAATTATATCAAATCTGCAACCCGAACAATACTTTGAAACACACATCACGTGACACAAAAATACTCACCTACGCAAAAGACCACCTCGCAAATTAATTAGGCAATCAACCTTCTAAATAGTGCACCAGGTTTTCTTTCACTCCATGTTGCACCCACCGAATTGATGTATGTAATCTATCACTCTCTTTCACCGAGAAAAGTTTTGCTTCTCACACTTTCTCAAGGAAAACAAAAACAATATATCTATTGTTAAATCTAGGACTTATTTTATCAAAACCTTAGTTGTATCCAAATTGAATTGGGTTTCCACAAATTAGATATAATATATAAAAATATATTATAACTAATATCAAACCAAATTAAACTCTTTTAATAAACCAATTGGGTCCCACACTCCAATAAGGAGGTATACCCAACAATTCACTAATCTCTAAACTACAACTTTAAACATCCAAAAAGCATAACTACAAATCGTAGATCAATTAGTCAAATATTTGGAGTCTCCTGGAAGAGAATTCAAATTTTGCATGGCCAGGAAATTGAATTCCACAAGTTCAATATGACCTAATTGTGTCCTTGAAAACTTGACATTTTGTCATACTTGCCATCAACTCCAAGGAGTTCATTTTCTCCCTGCTAAAGATTAAAAAAAAAATGATGTTAAGCATTAACAAGTAACCTGAATAACCCAATTTTTGTCAATTGTTGTGGGACTAAATTATAAGGATAAAAGTTAATCTCAAAAAGAAAAACAAAAAAAAATACAAAAGATTACTATCAATTCATCACATTATGCAGTACAACTTCAAATTAAAAAAACAATGTTAAAGTATTTTAAAAATCCATATTAAAATTACACGTATACAGCAAACCAAGCAATGAAGGAACACTTAATGCTTTGCACAATATTGCCTCGGGAAATTAGTTTCAAACCTTCAAATAAAATGTTTAAAAAAAAAGAAAAGAAATGATGAAAGTTTGCTGAAAAGATATGCTCGGTTAACAGTCCTGAATACATGCAACAAAAATTTCTTAAATACTAGATGCCAATAAATGTGTATAGAATTTGAACCACCATAAAAAGGTATTTGGCTATCCATCATATTAGCAATCATTCAGCATTATAAATATATAAGATGAATGCATACCACTTTCGGTTAAATAACTATAACAAATACCTAAAATGAAGCATCATGAAGGGCCTGAGCAGCTGCCATACTGGCAAAACCACCACCTATAACGATGACTGAGGGTGAGGCACCATGTCTTCTCTCAACATTTGAATAGCAAGGAACTACAAAAAAACAAAAAAATAAAAATAAAAAAAAATAAAAAAAATGAACTTAGATTCTCATGTTGGGCCCTGGAGCTTAACTGGCACAAATTGATAAATGGTTCAAATAATGGCAGAGTTAGTGATTGGGCATGCTCACATTCAATGAACTAATGTCACTATCATAATATGCCTTCACATCTACTTCCAATCACAATGATAGACAAAAACAGTTAAAAATATTTTACACATATACTTGGCCATCATCAAGACAAAAACAGTTAACAGAAACAATGATAGACAACATATTTTACAGATACACTGGACATGCTACCTATCATTATTCAAAAATACAGGCAAGAAACAACTAGGCAAAGGAAATTATTGACCACAGACACAAAAGAAGTAGCAAAAATAATAACTTCTGTAACAGGAACGTGGGTGAATAAATATAGATGGGAAGAAAATGCTTTATTTCTTGAAACAAAAATCGATCAAAATAATCTCAGATAAAGTATTGAAATTAATGTGTCATTATACCTAAGAGACATACAATGAAAATTTAGGGGTGGTTTGGGATGATCGAAACAAGTGCACTTTTTGACTTTTTATGAAATATGGGTTGGGTATGAGTTGGGTTTGAAATGATGTGGTAGAGGGGTGATGTGACTTAAATAGGACAGTGACTTTTTGACTTTTTTAAGTTATGATAAACAAGGCCTTAATTACAAAAGCTTTTTTAGTATCAATCTTGAGAATTGCTTCTGTTCTAACATATCTGGCCTCGATTTCCATTTAAAAAAAACAAGTCCTTGCCTGAATGTTGAATCAAAGGCATGCAAATGTCATCGTTCACCATTCCCCCTCTAGGTCTAGGTTAAAGACTCCATTTTTTTTACTTGTTTATTGCTCCCTTAATTTTATGTGGATAAATTCTAAAATAACGATTAGCAACTAACCGTTGGATTACCTCATTGCAAAACCGATAGAAACCTATCCATCGGTCCATGTTTATGACCTTGTAATCAATTTGTGTCTGCATTCAAAGCAAAAACACTCAAATGAGGTAAATAAATGGGATTGGATCCTATCTTGTGCATGCCTATAAGGTCCTTCACGTCACCACTCAAACTATGCTGCATCATTGTATGTGAGACTGCTAAATGAAATTGTTGAGGGCTAAATTTCTGATTTTAACTAAAAAACGAGCAAAGAGGAGCTAGCCCCATATGATATTCACTAATATGACAAATCCTAGAATCACAAGTCCAAAATTAAGGAAACTCTCACCAATACTCAAAAACAAACATTAGACCTAGAATTCAAAAGGTTTGATAATGATTAGTTTACACCTTTAATACTCAATTTGGATGGAGAGGTTTTATGAGAAAAGAAAAGAAAAGAAATGATGAGAATAAAAAACCTTCACTTGTTTGGAGGGTTAAGTAGGTGAGAAATGTTATGTTTTGTTTTTGGTGATGAGATTTGGTGAGAAAAGAAACGGGTTTAATGAATCTTTTCAAAAATACCAAAATTACTCTATGTTGGAAGAAACTAGAAAAATAGCTTATTAATATAAAAAATTATTTGGATAAAACAAAATAAAACACTTTCTTTTCTTTTTCCATCCAAACACAAAATGACAAGAAACCATAATCATTTCATTTCATTTCTTTTATTTTCTCGCCTCATGATCCAAACGGAGTGTAAAGGTGAGTTGTTGCAGAAATTAATATAAGTAACTGGCAAAACCAATAGTACAATTTAGCATGATCAAGCATTTCAATTGGTTATCAACCACAAAGCTGTAATGAAGAAAACGCAGCACATAAAAGGGACAACTTTAATATGGTTAAGTGGACGGATGTAACACTTAGCAAAGATAAGGGAGGGCTGGGTATAAGGAAGGCTAAGGAATCAAATGACTGCTTGTTACTAAAGTGGTGGTGGAGGTATGGGGTGGAGGATGAGTCACTGTGGAAGAGGGTGATTGTTAGCAAGTATGGGGCTGATGGAGGCAGGTGGCTACCACTACAGAATGGGGAAGGCAAGGAATCTGTTGTGTGGAGTGATATCCTGAGTGTGGCTGCATTAAATCCTGAGTTGTTCCAATTTTTTGCTTCTAAACTACAGATTGTGGTAGGGAATGGGAGTAGGATTCTGTTTTGGCATGATAGGTGGTGCATGAATTTGAAGTTGAAAGAGGAATTTCCTAGGTTATTTAGGCTTTCTATGGAGAAAGAAGAAAAGCTTAGTTACTTTATGCAGAGGAGGGATAGGGATGGTCCTTGGAGGCTACAGTTTAGAAGACCTCTGTTTTCTTGGGAGGAAGAGGAGGTCGGGAAGTTGCAAGAGTTAACTAAGGATGTCCCTAGGTTGAATGAAAATCTGTGTGATGGTGTAAAGTGGACAGCATCTGCGTCTGGTGTGTTCACAGTGGCATCTGTGAGATCTTGGCTTCAGAAAAATTCTGGAACTAGCTTACAGGTTCCTAAGATGCTATGGAATAATCTGGCACCTCCTAAAGCCCAATTCTTGTGTTGGCTGGCTTGGAGAGGAAGGGTAAAGGCTGCAGTTGTTCTGCAAAGACTAGGGGTGTTAGGGGGTAATGCAAATGTTGCCTGTCCTTTCTGTCTTGCCGCAGAAGAATCAGTAGATCATCTGTTTGTGCAGTGTCCTCAAATATGGAAGGTTTGGGGAAAGTTGATGCAGTGGTGGAACTTATGCTGGGTCTCTCCTGCTACAGTGGATGGAGTTCTTTCTTGGTGGTTGGGAACTAAGCATAGGAAACTAGTGAAGAAAATCTGGATGCTGGTCCCAGTGGCAATGCTGTGGTCAATCTGGAGGCTTCGGAATGAGATTGTGTTCAAGGGTCATTTACCAGATATGTTGGAGCTTGGTGAGGTAGTTAAAGTGAGGGTGGGGTACTGGGTTCGAGCTTCACTGCCTTCTGTCAATTACTCAGTGCATCACATAGTGGAGAATCTGAGTCAGGTGCTGGTATGCATCTGAGAACATGCGGATCATGTATGCTGTGTTGTGGTGTCTATGGGGAGTTTCTGCTACTACTGTAGGCAGAGTTGGCTACTATTGAGGTGCATTATGCTGTTGTTGAGTTCTTGAAATCTCCTTCAGCAGAGATTTCTTTGATGATCAATTCGTGCCTCTTTGCTTTGTGTTGTTCTGTGGGTTCTCTGCTTTGGTTTGGTCTCTCACCAATGCCCTTGCATTGCCCTGCCTTGTTGATGTTTTTGCATGTTTTATGCTTTTTCTCATCAATAAAGCTTTTATTTTGCTGATCAAAAAAAAAAATATATATATATATATAATCACACTTGTTTAAAAAGTGTGATTAAAAATTAGTAGTGTATATATAATCACACTTTTAATTAGAAGGTGTGATTAAAGCATATATATGTAATCACACTTAATTGAAAAGTGACATAAAAAATAAATATTATCACACTCAATCAAATTAAGTGTGATTAAAATATCAATTTAATTTTTTTTATCATACTTCCAATAAAAGTGAGATCTTTTTTTTGTCAAAGTGTAATCTTTAACTATTTTTGTAATAGTGTATGGTGATAAACAAAAGGAGTTTTCTTAAGTGTGCAAGTGCACACCATGTGCCACTTACACAAAAAGTGTAAGTGTAAGGTGTAAGTATAAGTATAAGGTGTAAGTGTAAGGTGTAAGTGTAAGGTGTAAGGTGTAAGTGGGTTGCACATGGTGTGCAACCTCAAAAAAGGTGTAAGTGTAAGGTTTAATTTTTTACAAAAGGTGTAAGTGTAAGGTGTAAGTGTAAGGTATAAGGTGTAAGGTGTAAGTGTAAGGTATAAGGTGTAAGGTGTAAGTTGCACACCATAACCAAACCCTAAACAAAAATGAAAATAGGGTAAACTATAAGAAAATAATTGACGGAGAGAGAATGATTAGAAGTATCACTCTCTCCCCTTAAAAAAACACAGAAAGAGAGAGAAAAGCTAAGGTTTGGTAGAAATAGAGAGTACTACTGTTATTGTTAATTAGCTCAATAATTAGAATGGTTCTTAACTATGGCAACACAGCCAAGAAATTAAGAGAGTTGGTGGTGATCGTAGTAAGCTCCTCAATCTTTTTATAATTTTTTAATCATTTTTTATTATTTTATATAGTTTAAAAAGGTTCAATTATTATTGAACACATATTTGAACTACAATATTAGAATATTCATTTATTTTTCAAATTAATGAATATTTGTCACACAAAATTAAATTTTACTTTCATTACTTTATATTAATTAATAAAAATTTTAACACACAAATTTATCATAATGATATTCTTTATTTTTCATTATTTAAAATATAAAAAAAAATGTATGTTCTCTATTTTAACTAATTTCTTTTTTTATTTATGTACTCCAACTCTACTATTTGTTTTACGTATTTATACACAAATTATTTAAAGAGTCTCCCAAACTCTTCAAAATGTAACTAGTTTTAAGAATGTTGTTAGTATAACTATTATAATGTTGTTAGTATAACTATTATAATAACTAATCCGTTGAAGTGACCAAACTATGCTAATACTAGTTATAGTAACTTCATTTAAAGAGTTTAATGGAGACGCTTTTGGCACCTCATAAAGGACAATGTAAACTAAAAGAAAGTGGAAGTGATGGTTTTGTTGGCCAAGAGCTTATCTCTGAAAAAAGATATTGTCAGGTAAATTATAATTTTTTTACCTTTACAATTTATTTTAAATTTAATTTTGATCTCTATTATTTTAATTTTGAAACTGGGTAATCTCAAAGTTAAAGTTTAGAACATTTTCAATGGTAACTCATTAAATTTTGTAATTAAAGTTATTTTTAAGCTATGAACATTGTATAAAAATTATATTTTACTAATATTGTTTTAATGGTACTACTATTTTTTGCCTCAACCAATTTTCTCTCTATTTAATTTTCCTGTTTCAATTACTTTTAACCACTATTATTGAACTGTTTTTCTTCCCACCACAATTGAACCACTTCTCTCCAAAAAAAAAAATAATAATAATAATAGCAAGACTTCTTAATTTAGTCATTCCGAAAAAAATACTGACAACATTTTTAAATCTCATTTGGCAATATCACTTTTTAACCTAAAAGTCAAAAAGTCATTAAAAAAATCAAAAAATCAACAACTTATACAAAAAGTCAAAGATTCCATTTTCTCTGTACTTTTTGCACATATTTTTGTAAAAAATCAAAAAATCATCCCAAACATACTAATTTCTTTTACATCATATTTTAGCCAAGAAGCCAAAAAATTACTAAAAAAAATTGTTCCCAAATGAGGCCTTAGTTTAAATTACACTCTTCTGCTATGAGATTTAGAAAAAATATAAGGAAAATTTATTCATAAATCCTATTTGGGGAAATATTGATACATTTAGGTTTCATTTGGGAATTTTAATAACTTTTTCGGCAAATTACAGAAATAGTCCCTGTACTTTACCCCGTGTGTCATTTTGGTCCCTGACATTTCCAATTGCGCGATTTAGCCCTTCAATTCAACGAAGTGTGCCAATTTCGTCCAATAATTGATGCCTGTTTGAAATTTTGAACGGAAAGCCAACACCTGCCTCTTGCGTGCTCCCTCTAGCAATTACTGAGGGGCACACTCGTCTTTTCATCTCAAACCCTAGTTGCCTCCCGCCAAAACCATATATGTCATCTCTATCTCCATTATATACACATACAGACTCCAATACACATACAGACTTCAAAATTGATGGCAGACGAAGGACGAAAGAAGAAGATGGATCATGTACTATGCCGATGCAAAATGAAAGCTCAGTTGAAGACTTCGTGGACAGAGAGCAACCCTGGACGAAGGTTTTGGGGATGTCCTCAATATGGTGTAAGTGTAGATGGAAAAAAATTAGGATGTCGTTTTTGTTTTACTATTTGTAAAGGCAACTAAGGTGTTTAAGAAAAAATATTGCAGAGCAGACATGCATGTGGATTCTTTCTATGGGTGGATCCTCCATTGTGCCCTCGCGCTCGAGATATCATACTTGGGTTGTTGAGAAGAACCACCATGCTTGAAGAGCAATTAAAGATGTAGAGAGTAAGACAAAGGAAGTTGATTACTTTGATGGCATTGTCATGGCTCATTTTTTGGTGTTGGAACATGATTGGAGATGGTTCTACAGCTGCTTCTCTTTCAAGTACTGGGAATGATGGAAATTAAAGCATGTAGACTAGAAATAAAGTGGTTTTTTTTTTTTTAAATTCTGTAAATTTTTTTGTT